GCTTTGTTCGAAGATAATGGAAAACACGTGATTGATGAAATGCACATCAAGATTTACTTAATCACTGTTTCTTTCCTGTTTACTAATGCCTCGATTTTGAATAATTTTTTTCCTGTCCATTTAGTAAAAACTACGAGTGGACAGCGTTTAATTCTTACTAAATCAGCTTCGGGCAGCTTTGAAACCATCACAAGAATTGACAATGTTCGGCCCCTCATCAGAATTCCAAATTCGTCCGTTCAACAAGTATGTATTGCGTCTCACACATCTCTATTCTCGTCTTATTCCTTCATGATTACTCATACTATCCTTAATCCTTCCTGTGTAATATTTCTGGATGTATTTTTGGAAACGAGTGAAGTGGATTCATGACGATTAAGAAATGGCAATCTGCTCTTTTCTTCTAGCAAGAAAACAAAACAGGTGGAAAGAAATTGCTAATTCTCAATTTCTCTAGTGAAAATGATATCGTTTATTATTTGTACAACACAGGACAGCGAATTTGATCATAAATATTTTTTCCAACTTGGTTTTGTGTTAGAAGTGTTACGAAAATTGATATTAGTGACGTATGAAGTTAGTTGTTTTGTTACTATAGCCAGGAGAATGTTCAGAGTTGTAAAGAATGAATCCTCAAACCCTTCCTGTCAGAATCGGTTGAATTCTCAAGTACCGATGGAACTTGTATCGGTGAAAATGTAGGAAGAGTACTTTTGATGTTGAAAATTCGCTAACCTAAAAGATAGTTTCTGTCTCGTGAGAAATTTTCACAAGTTGCCAAAATCTAATTTTTCACTTCACTCCTTCCTTATGTCATTTCCGGAAAGTAACCTGTCTATTTGAATCTTGAAAACTTGTACAATGTTTTCAGGCCACCATATTGAATAATGGAGCTAATTCGACCATCTCATCAGCTCCATCGACGATTATTTTGAACAATTCCGTGAAAACCAATATTTCAGTATCAAAACCTGTATCGACGAGTTCTGTTTCATCTCCAATTATTTCAAGCGCAGTTACCAGAAGTAGATCCGAAAAATCTACGGAAGAATTAATCCCCGAAGCAGTAAGTACATTTTCGTGTTCAGTGTTATAAAAATTTTGGAAGTCTATTCTTGTTCTCACCTGTTTCCGACGTTTAATCATACCCTTGTCATAGTTTTTGACTTTTTAAAAATTGATTCCCATGTTATTGAATTGACAACCTAGTTGATGAACAAAGAATCTCGTAAAAGTTGTTCATCTTTTCAGCAGTTTCGATTTAATCTGGTTCTAAAATTCAAGATGAAATTGTTAG